TAGTTAGTCAATTAGTAGACAGGCCTTTAAAAGAAGAGGGCAGCCTGCTGCAGAGTGAGGGAGGAAAAGACAGCTAGGAGAGTGAATGACAATTGTGTTTATTGCAAAGACATTTCTTTTGTTTGGAAAATTGGTAAGTGGGAAAGCCACCCAATTGCAGATAGCAATTCCTGTCTAGTAAGAGCTCAAGTAAGAGCAAGGGATTTTGTTTGTTTTGTTATTATTTAAACCTGTTTTCTTATTGAATAAAAAGGAAAACCGAGCTGAATGTGTCCTGGACTTTGTATACCCTAGAAGGCTGTGGTTACTGCAAGATCTGTGACAATCCTACCTATAAAAGAGGTGGTTTGTTACAATATATATATATATATATATATATATATATATATATAAACAGTGTTGGCTACCTCATACTCCACCACCTCCACGGTCACCGCCTCCTCAACCTATGGGTCACTTAGTATAAACTAGGTATACATTAGCAGAGGCTAGTGAAGGCCTTTTCTCCATGCATCAGGAGTTGAGTATTTCTCCATGCATCAGGACTGCAAGAAATGCACCGCAGGCCGCAAACGTTTCTTTATTTGTATGTCCCAATATTTTGTGGGCTACCACAATAAAAAAGCAAAACAAAAAAAACATAAAATACAGTGTTGGCTACCTCATCCTCCTCCTCCACCGCTGCTTCCACCTACACCGCCACGGTCACCGCCTCCTCAACCTATGGGTCACTTAGTATAAACTAGGTACACATTAGCAGAGGCTTGTGAAGGCCTTTTCTCCATGCATCAGGAGTTGAGCATTTCTCCATGCATCAGGACTGCACCGCAGGCCGCAAATGTTTCTTTATTTGTATGTCCCAATATTTTGGACGCCTGGAAGGGGCTTGTGTCCTTTTTGAATGGAGACCCAATGCCGGGGGTCTGTGCATAAAAGGCTGAGTTTATGTGGAATAAATCAGTTGTACTCCCAGAACTGTGAGTCATCCAGTAACTGGTGAGGGATAGAGCTATTCACATTTCCGCGCCTTGTTCCTGAGTTTCAGTCTTCAATGATCCAGTGGAGAAAAAGTCCTTGTGAAGACTAGCGCTCCGCTACAAATAATACACAAACTTAGGAACCACGCTTAAAAATAAATAATTATCTTTAGATTCTAAAACAGACCACAATGTGAAGCTTGAGGCGGCTGTACGCAGGCATGACTCCCATATCTTCCCGAACTAGCGCAATGTCGGCCAAGAAATAGGTCTTCATCTCTGCCAGTATATTTTGAATATCAGCTTTAGTGGCAGGAATGTGTTCTGAATGGGTCTCAAGGCTCACCCATGTGGGAACCGGGTCGCAATCAGGGAGAGTATGGCTCTTACTGGGTTCTGCTCAGTCAGTATATCTGAAGTAATCTTGTTTGCCTTCCTCCGAGGCGAGGTCTGAGTCTTCCCACGGGGGCACCATCTTTGTAGGCCTCTTTGTAGGCCTCTTTGAAGCAGGGTACCGATATCTTAAAAGGAGGGAGTTGCTTTGCTCTTGCGGAGTTCAGATTTATTTTCCATAGTGGTAAAGCAGTTTGTAGATGAGTTAACGACTTTGTAATAGCAATTAGGTGAGGAAACACCAAATCTTTCTTGGGAGCTCCTAGCTTGTGTGACTGTTTCCTTCAGTGACTGACTCCGTAACCCCTCTTTTTATTTTTTTTATGATGTTGTATATTCTACTTTTCAAGGAATGTAAGCTGTTCCTATATCACTATCAGCACCATATACTGAGCTACAGGCATAGAGCGTTATTTCTTGTTATACTCTTGCTATATCTGATTGAATTAGATACTATTTCTTGCTTATCTTTGTGCTGTAAAACAAGAGGTACATGGCTCAACTATTGCTCAACTTATCCTGAATATGCTTTTGTGCCGATCTATCAATAAAGAATAGAAAAACACAACAGAAAAAAAACTTTTGTTTTTGGGCTAGTGTCAATGATATTAATAGTTAAAAATAGGTGTAGATGGTGAGTAAAAGCAGGTTAAGTTTCTTGCAAAAATGGTAATTTACCTCTACCTGCTCCTTCAAAAATTTGCTAGCCCTGCCTTAACTTATATATTGTGCATCCATAGTCCACATGGAACCCACATTGTGTTTTTTCAAAAATAAAATATGTTTCAATGTTGGTCTATTCATCTCAGATGCAATACTGCATCCAGTTATGGAATTTGTAGCTTTTTATGCATTACTTTGTTGCCATTGAGGGCTTCCGTCAGAAAGTTTGGGACACCTTACTAAATTACCAGATTTGGAAAGGGCCCCCACAGTCATACCCCCACAGACATATTTACATATGCACTTACACATACATACTCACACAAACACAAACATAACCACTTTCATCCACATTTGCAAATACTCACATAGACACAAACATTCCCACAGACGCATTAACCAATACACATTCAAAGAAACAAACAGACATAGGTATATGTCTCAGACAGACACATACATATATATATATATATATATATATATATATATATATATATATATATATAAACCCACCACACACACCATGCCCTACACACCACCATATACACATTGACATGCATAGACACTGATACACACTACATTTGCACACACTGCCACTAACAAATACACTCTGCATTCACACCCATTGCTAGACATCCACTCCCAGACACACAAATACTTACAAATATATTTTTTACATATGTTTAGCTTCCCTCTTGTTTTCCCACCATTTTAAATTAGAATGAAATAAAAAAATGTAACATATAGCAAATGACCTACCTATGAAATTTCTGCATCCTCCAGCAGTAGAACCTCTAATCCAACTTCCCTGGTGGACCGAAACTTCCCACTTGTGTGTAGTGTCATCATCCAAAGCATCAGGTGTAAGATTACAGATCTCGACCTTGTCAAAATAGTGCTTGAAGTCCTCAAATTTCATCCTAATTAAAATATGGAAAGTAGCAGTATAATGATAATCACAAGACACGTGTAATCAGGATTCCTATAGAATGTAAAATGTCAGTTGTATTGCCAATAAAATATCGAATTTCCTTAGGTGTAATTTTCCTACTTTCCAATATTTATTGAATAGTAATTTTTCACAGCCAAGTTTTGTATAAGGATAATAGTTTTCAGGGCATTTAGCAATCATTTCTATTTCAATGATCTAGTGAAAAAGCATGATCTCATTGTGTTTACTTACTGTAAAGCCTAATCATAGCTGACATTTTTCAAAACATTTTAATTATTAAATGATAAAAGGATCAAGATTCACTGAAGGCATTTGATGCAGTACAGAAAAGCATATACAGTACATTTAAAGTAGGCATACTTCCAACTTATCGAAATATGAAAGTGGGACAAGATATAGGCAGACCTAAAGAGACATGTTAAAGGACCACTATAGGCACCCATACCACTTCAGCTTAATGAAGTGGTCTGGGTCCCAGGTCCAGCTAGGTTTAACCCTTTTTTCTATAAACATAGCAGTTTCAGAGAAACTGCTATGTTTATAACTGGGTTAATCCAGCCTCTAGTGGCTGTCTCATTGACAGCTGCTAGAGGTGCTTCTGCGCTTCTCACTGTGATTTTCACAGTGAGAAGACGCCAGCGTCCATAGGAAAGCATTATGAATGCTTTCCTATGAGACTGGCTGAATGCCGTGCATGCGCATTCAGCCGAGGAGGAGGAGAGGAGGAGGAGGAGAGGAGGAGGAGAGTCTCCCGCCCAGCGCTGGAGAAATAGGTAAGTTTAACCCTTTCCTCTTCATGCAGCCCGGCGGGTATGTTTTCCTGGCACTATAGTGGTCCTTTAAGTCACTGGTAATGCCCATAATGGTCGGTCCTGCCTGGAAAGGTGTCACCCAGAGAAGGGGAATGTAAACCTCCTGTGAATGAATGCCAGGCTATCTGACAGTCTTACAGATCATGCAGAGAGCACAGCTGAAGTGCTTTCTGATTGATACTAGTGCCCTCAGCACGATACACTCGCACTGTGCTGGATGGGAACAATCCGATAATATAATTGGTGCAGAAATAGTATTCTCTGTAATAAATGTTAGTTATGGACACGTTGTATAAATACTTTACCAAAATTCACCATCATCAAGTGTTATCTGAGTCAGGCGTTTCTTCTCTGCGGGATCAATATTATTCCATTCTGAGGCACTAAAATAAAACGACATGAAAAAGTATTATATTTTCCAACATACCCAAACAATTAATGGAACTAGTAAAATGTGTTTGTTGTATGACATGTTCCTAAAAGAAGGCATTTCACTGTCATCCAGTTTTGGATAGATTTGTAGGGATAATGCAGAAGTGTAATTTTGACATAATCAGTGCAGTTTACATGGGGCAGAAAGGCTTTAAGGGATAGGGAGAGTTCTAGGGTGTGTCAAATCTCTCCAAATTATTTGACAGAAAAACAATATATTGCACCCAAAGACTCAGGGCATCATAACCACATGAGGGGATATCAATTAGATGTCTTATCTAACAATGAGATTCTAACTTTTGTAATAAAGAAGACCCCACAGTCTTCCAGAAACAATAAAATGGCATTCATACTAGGAAATGGATGGTAATGCAAATGTACAACATGCAATAGCTTGGTTCTGTAAGCCCCAGTAGCTCTATTTTTCACTGTATTTAATTTCTAATACTCACTTATCACTCCACGCTCCATTCCATTCTACCTGTCCCCAGGGGTTCCTGACTCTAATAAGTTTGACTTTTTGACCTTTGTAAGTTACCTATAGGTAAAAAAAACAACGACAACATTGTTTTAACACATTTTAAACATGTATTTTTGACCCTATAGTGTTAAAACCACCATTTAAGTGGCTTGCTCCCCCTTAACCTCCCTAATAAAACCTACCTTATTTCCAGTGCTGGCACCAGCCCGATTCACCTCCTTGACTGACATTATCAGAATTGATGATCTCAGCCAGTCCAATGCTTTCCAATAAAAAATAATTGGATTGGATGAAATTGTCAAGGAAGCAGGGTGGGGCTAAACACCGGTTTGGCCAGTGTGCATCTCCTCATAGAATCAATGCATCGCTATATGGAAAATTCAGCATGATTTGCACACTGTGCAGCACTGCCCCAGGAAACACCTTTAGTGGCCATCTGAGAAGTGGCTACTGGATGCATCCCTAGGAAAAAATGTAAACACTGCCTTTTTTCTGAAAAGACTGTGTTTACATTAAAAAACCTTCAGGGACTGAGTATACTCACTAGAACAAAAGAACAAATACATTAAGCTTTAGTTGTCTGGTGACTATAGTGTCCCTTTAAATATATATATAGATTGTAGCCGTAATACGAATTTTATCTGTTATATATATATATATATATATTATTCGACTCTATTGAAAATCCGGTGTATTGTCATAATTTATAGTCTGTTAGCGGTTTGCAATGAACAAATGAAACAAAAACAATTGAAATAGCTCACACAATGAATGCGTCAAGTGGTTTCCCCAAATTCAACAGAAAATGCAACTTATAATGACTTCTCCAGTCTCAAAGTTATTCAACCCCTTTCATGGCAAGCTTTAGTACATACTAGAACACCCTTTTTCTGTTGTCGAGATGTAATAGCTTTTTTTCTGAAGAAAAAAAGACTTTACAACAGAGAAGACCTGTGAAGTAAATACATTAAATTATTAGGGGTGGATAGAATATTTTTATTGGAAGAGTGACTAGGGGCTTGGGCCAACGTATATTTTACTGTAAGACCCCACCTGCTAGCTGTGGGTGAGGGCTAGGGGGACATTAGGTCCCCCCAGGTGTTATAACATTAATAGCTTGCCACACATGTGTGAGGCTGGGGACACACACAAGGTTCCACGACATTTAATACGTAACACCCATCCACTGACAATAGGTGGTAAGATGGGATGTTGGAGTACTCCCTCAACATTTTTTTTTTATTTAGTAACCTCAGCTGCCAGAAAGCAATAATTTGGATTTTTTACATCTGTGCTTGGCTTTGAAGCATCCGATCACAGATTTTGATGACGAAGGTCCAGATTTCAGCTGTCTGGCAGCATTCAGTCCAACTGAAATCTGGGACAAACTGATGCTCCTTTGGTTTGAAAATACGGACATTGTTAAGTAGTGTGAATAATGTCCAGATTTTGCATTCCGAGTGGCCTGGTGCAATGGTTTTGTCCCAATTGGTGCGCAGCCATTTAGAGTTTGGTGAATTTGAATGTTGATTCATGGCTGAATCAAAAATAGTGTTATGAAGTACAGAACAAATGTAATCTTTTGACAAATTGTATAGTGCTGATGTGTAACATGTGAGAGGAAAACACACAAAATATTGATGACTTATCAGTGCCATTGAACTTTGTTTCTTAAATAACTCTGGGTATTTTAATTTTGTACATACCATGTCCATGCCAGTTATTGAATAAGCATGTCCCTTTACAAGACCTTGAGGGGTTTTAGCCTCTGTTTCAGCAGAACTTGTGATCTAAAAGATAATAAATAAATAAATTAGTAATTTGCAGATTAAGAAGTATTTAAAAAAACGACGTCATAGGTTTTTATGTACTGCAGTAGTTTAAAAAGTATCATGAGATAAGTTTTGATTTGTTTTGAATTACATTTCATTATCCGATGCTCTCCCACCTACTTCAGTTTCAATGTGGGCAGGTGGCGAGTAGCAGAGGTGAAAACGCTGTGTGATCAGCACCACTTCTTCTGGGCATCAAACAAAATTCATCTAAGTAATACCCTGTTATAACCATGGCAACCTTGGGACGTTGGTTTGGTTGGTGGTGAGAAGCAGGGGTGTCTACATAACTAATCTTCAGGATCTGAAGAAAGTTTGTGCTGTCAAACTGAGATGTTAACTAAATAAATAGCAATTTGTGTTGTTTACCAAGAAGTCCCTAGACTGACGTTTTTTATGTACTGTGGATCGTCTGCTAAACATTGCAGTGCGCCACATATTATTGAAGTCCTACTGTGCAAGATTTATATAAACAACAGTTGTATCTATGAGTGAAAAAAATACATAGGTAATAAACTACTTACATCAATCGAGCATCCCAGCATTGACCCTCTTTTAAGAGCTTTCTCCATAATTTCAAAATAATTGTTAGGAGCACTTTTATTTTCATAGGTTTCTGAAACACCCCCCGTGAAATCTTCCATAGCTTCAATAGTGCTACCTCCTTTTAATGCCTCATAGCTACCGTACAGCCTAAAGTAAATAAAAACACAAATACATACACTTCTTCACAGACAATAAATATTACAGATTTTTTGAAAGTCTCTTGGATGCAAGAATACTATAAGAATACAAGTGAGCTAAATCAGTGACAGTGGGGTTGTATCTCTTGATATAAATGTGGGATATTGCTTATCTATACATAAAAGGGTTATAGACTATAAGGTGTAGTGTGAGAATTATGTAATCAAAGTGCTAAATGGTGGGACCAAATTTTCAGAGCATAAATAAGGATGTGTTGTCAGATTTTAATTATTCATAAAACATAGTTTTAATCAACTGAAAGATTAATTAAATGCAAGAGTAATTACATAAAAAACATTTTCTGTTTAGTAATATATGTTAGATTATGTAACCAAGAAATTGTATCAATTCTGAGTAAGGAATTTCCTTATTCAGATGTGTCATGTATTGACTCTTCCATGGAGACCACAAGTGTATGATCGGCAATAAACATCTCAAACATATCTTATTGTTTTACTTGATTGTAAGTTGAGGAAAGAAAATTACAGGTGTATATATAGAAGTAGCTAAGTAAAGGCAAAAAATATTATACATGCAGAACACAAGAATATAGAAAGTTGGGTTACAACAGAGGATAGGATAATTGGGAATCAGGAGATGGAGTCAATACTGTAACATGAGGGGTAGTGATGTCCCGAACGGTTCGCGAACGGTTGGCCCGCGATCGGTTCACCGTGGACTCATATTGAGTAAACTTTGATCCTGTACCTCACAGTCAGCAGACAAATTCCATCCAATCAGCAGCAGACCCTCGCTTCCAGACCCTCCCACCTCCTGGAGAGCATCCATTGTGAAGCTGCATTCTTAGTGAGCTGTCCAGGAGGTGGGAGGGTCTGGGAGGGAGGGTCTGCTGCTGATTGGCTGGAATGTGTCTGCTGACTGTGAGGTACAGGGTCAAAGTTTACTCAATATGAGTCCGTGGTGAACCGTTCGCGGGCGAACCGTTCGGCGAACCGTCCGGGACATCACTAATGAGGGGCTTTATAATAAATTGTAAAATGGTGAAAATAAACAGAGCTGGTCTAGCTTTCATAAAGGTAGTACACATTCAGAGAAATCCCGCTGATATTAGTTTTCTGTTTTAGTCTATCCAAGATAAAATGTGGGCCCAGTGCCCTATATCATCATTCCCACAAGTGCAAAGGTCTCTAATTCAAAGCAACCAGGTCTCGTATCATCAAGTACAAGGCATTGTATCCTAAGTTGCAAGTTTTCTTGTGCCCATATATTTTTACCAACATTTATTGTTATCCCAACTCATTTATGTAATGTGATTATCACTACTATGTATTGATAAAAAGCAATCTGAAGTGTCCAGGAAAATGAGGTGTGTGTGATTTTTAAGTATTATAGTACTAAATAATAAAGTATTTAACCATGAAATGCACAATCAGATTACTCTGGTTTCCAAGTACATCCTGGGGATACTTTTTCCCAACATTCAGAAGATGTTGCCATTACTCAATTTAATGGTACTCATTTTATCTACCGCGAAAAGGATGAAGGGCTGAATCACAATGCAAGGAATTAAACCTGCAAACCCAAAGGTTTGAACAGATTCTACTGATGATGCATTAGCCCACTGAGCAATCTCATCAGCCTTATAATAAATATCTTATTCTCAATTGTTTCTCCTGATCTGTACAGTTATCAAGTGTAAATAACCTATATTCCATTAATGTCTCAACCTCATAATTAAAAGGCGATAAACAGTATGGTGAATGAATGTTTGCAACTTGTAATTTCAACATATAATTATGCATATTTTGTTTTTCTACAACTAATTTTCATAGAACTAACGCTCTTTGAAGGTCAAGATACACCTTACAATTCCCTGAAAAATTCATCATGCAAAAAATACTGCCTTAAAATACTTACTTGGCATATGCTTTTTCTAGTAATGCACTCCAAAATTCATTTAGATCTGCTGAGTGCAGAAAGACTAGACGATTTCTGAATGTGGGGAGGCGATCATCAATTACAACATCAAGCCATTCATTGTGCTGCCAAAACTGTTTAAGGAGACAGTATCAGATTTTTTTATGATGAGATTTTTTGAGATTTAATTTTGCATGCTGGTAAATATTTGACAAATAAGTGGAAAAAAAGAATTCTCTTTCCTGCTCATTCTGGAACGGATTACTTTATTAAAGGAAGACTGCAAGCACCAAACAAATATTCCGTAGGAGTATTCTGGCACACTCTCCAGGTAATCCGTCAACCAATTTTAAGATGGTTTGACAATTTATCTAGGCCACCCATACACCTGCCCCACATTTAGTCCTCTCCTGCAGGAAAAGCTAGATGCCTTTACTGAAGTAAATATGTCCAATGCAGGACTGTGCTCATTGGCTGAGAGTGCAATGTAGTTGTTATGGTACTTGGAGTGTTCCTTTAAGTGAAGACAAAAGATATGACATAATTTTGACTTTATTACAGTACAATGTCTGTACTGCTCTATACTGATCTGTAAGATCAGTACTGCTGTATTGTCCCACTTTCTTTTAGAATATTATTCATTTTTATACAAGGTATCACAAGCGGCTGCAGGCCAGTGTTCTGCCCAGATCTTCCATATCATTCCCACTTTCAACTTATGTCCCACAGATTACATATATACAGGACTATCTAAAGACTACATACATTGCTCTCTCTCTCCCAATGACATAAAGTCTTGTTACCGGCCCAATTCACTGTTTTAGTATATATTTAAATCAAATTGAAAAGAAACAATGTGAAGAAACACATACCTGGAAGTGAAATATGCCAGCATATCCAGAGTCAAATGTTTGGTCAGGAGGTACCACTCTAAACATCACCTTCTCATTGAGAGTCAGAGAAGCAATAGCTGCTAAAAGCCAACAGTCTCCTGCAAATGAACATTATGACAGAGTTAATTACAGTATCTCTGTTTGGGGTGAAAAGGAAACTGTGAAATATAATAACAAGTATTTTGGCTGAGTTTATCATATGGAACGAGATAGGCAAAAGCCTCACTTGATTTTCTTTTAATGCTTGGTTTATCTTTTATAGATCTATGTATTATTTATTTTATTTGACATGTTTGCGAGTAGTACATATCTTTGCAAGTAATACAACATACAGTATAAGGGAACACATCATTCAATTGCATAAGAAATGTGAAAATACACATTTTAACATAACATAACAGCAAAGTCTTATCTAGTAAAATAAGAGCATCTGATTGTTTTTCTAATAAACTACAGGAGAAATCTGGATTCTATAACAGCATAAGCAAGATTTTAATGTGTCCATGGGACATTAGATGAAAGTTGAACAATATCTCTAACCTTTGGGAAAGTGGGTGGGGAGGGAGTTATCCTAACATTGTACAAATTCTTATCTACATCCAATATATATGATAAATTATAGCAGCCTTCTATAACACATGCACTGTTATCAGTGGCGTCGCTGGGGGGGGGGGCAGAGGGAGCCATGGCCCCCCCCTACATCATGTTGTGCCCCCCCACAGGCCCCCCCAAATGCCAGCAACTTGCTGGCCATGTTCTTACATTCTATTCATTCGGGCTTTAACAGTGTGTTACAGCCCGAGGGAGGGAATGCAGGGCAGAGGAGCTCATCTGGAACGGTGCTGGGGGCTGTCTGTGGCCGGAGGGAGCACTGACAGGCTCCCCTGCAAGGCCCCGCCCCCAAACAAAGATCCGCCCTGCACATAAGCCCTGCCCCTGCCATTAAGCAGCAGACCTTGCTGCTGCTGCAAAGGCAAGAAGATGGATATCTGGCCACCAGCAAAAGGAAGGCTTTGTCCGCCTGCAAGTGAGGAAGCTTGTGTGTGTGTCTGTGTGTGTGTGTGTGTGTATGAACTCAGCAGTGTGTGTGTATGGACTCAGCAGTGTATGTATGAACTCAGCAGCGTGTGTATGGACTCCGCAGTCTGTCTGTATGTATGGACTCAGCATTCTATCTGTGTGTATGGACTCAGCACTGTGTGTGTATGGACTCAGCCGTCTGTGTGTATGAACTCAGCAGTGTGTGTTTATGGACTCAGTCTGTGTTTGAGTGTGTGTATGGACTCAGCAGTCTGTCTGTGTGTGTGTATGGACTCAGCAGTCTGTGTGTGTGTGTGTGTGTATATGGACTCAGCAGTCTGTGTGTCTGTGTTTGTATGGACTCAGCAGTCTGTGTATCTGTGTGTATGGACTCAGCAGTCTGTGTATGTGTGTGTGTGTGTACTCACCAGTCTGTGTGTGTGTGTGTGTGTATGGACTCAGCAGTCTGTGTGTATGGACTCAGCAGTCTGTGTATGTGTGTGTGTGTATGGACTCACCAGTCTGTGTGTGTGTGTGTGTGTGTGTGTGTGTGTGTATGGACTCAGCAGTCTGTTTGTGTCTGTGTGTGTGTATGGACTTAGCAGTCTCTGTGTGTGTATGAACTCAGCAGACTGTGTGTATGGACTCAGAAGTCTGTGTGTCTGTGTGTGTATGGACTCAGCAGTTTGTGTGTGTATGGACTCAGCAGTCTGTGTGTGTGTATGGTCAGCAGTCTGTGTGTGTGTGTGTGTATGGACTGTATCAAGGGAAATGTGTTTGTTTTTAATAATCCTTGGTGGAAAATAATGAATTCTCCACCAGGGATTATTTAAAAAAAAATAAAAAATTTTTTGGTGCGAGGCTTAACACGCAGCAGGGGCGGGTAAAACTACAGTGAGGGCGGGGTTAAATGTGCCCCCCTACTTTAGTCCCTGGCCCACCATGTGCCCCCCCAAAAATGAATCCTAGAGACGCCACTGACTGTTATGACCATTCAAAGGTGGTACAGTGTTATAAACAGGATATTGCAGTTGTGAAGAAAAAACTGTGAAACAAAATAAAGAGAAACTATGACCAATTGTTAATAAAGTATGTACAATTAGGTCCCCTCTAGGTACAAAGTGTGTCCCTTTGGTGACATTACAGGAGTGGTTGGAAGTTAGTCTCAGCGCTACTGGTATGAGTTCTGTAAGGCCCAGAGCCTCAAGAAACGTGGAACCCTCCGGGTCAAAAGCTTTGTATATTTTCCATTCCCTTCCCGAAGATGGACCTGGGAGTAGACTAGCGATATGCAAGTCCTGCTTTTTAGAGTATTTTAGCAGAGTGGATCCGTTCCCTAGGCATGCACCTGGAACTAGTGCTACATTAGCTCCAATTATAATTTGTCCCTGCCTTTAAGAAATTAGATGCTTGAGTTAATATTTATAAAAAGTAAATGTTACCACATTGATAACTTACCAAGATCACCTTGACAAACATCTGTTCTTGAAGCACCTCCTAGAATAAACTGAGCATTTGAGGCAATATCCTGGTGAAGAGAAGACAAAAAATTACTACATTCACAACATTCTTTAATTATCATTCCATATTAATTTGCGACTAGTCACAATTTGCACTATATGTCTTCATGCAATTTTCTTTGTACTCTACAACATTTCTACAAAAGCAAAAACTAGTGTAGTCCATAACAACATACTCTATGATATTTTCTAACAAGTATTATGTAATCTATACTGCATTAACAATAGAACTTTCTCCTCAAGGCTATTATTCATCAAAAGTTTCATCTGGTTGTAGAAAGATACTTGAATCATGCTGGCAAACAGCTCACTTTACCAAATGTAAAGTATTGAATAAATGTTCTTGTATCCTTGACTTGGCTGCAGAAGAAGATGGTTGTTTAATGTGGCTCTCATTGATTTTCTCAGACAAATGCTTGGTCTTCTCCTGCTAAACCTCAGGATAAGAAAATGTAATAAACTTCAAACCAAGCAGCGACCCTCTAATTCTAAAAAGAGGTTGATTACTGCTTCATACCAACATTATTTATAATGTAATAGGCAGCTGTCACTACAATGACATTCTACCTGTTATGTACCAAATCATCTATTCATTAGAAAATCATATCACAGTGTTCAGTCTGTATTGTGCATGGAGGCTGGGTTTTACTCACATTCTCACACATATTCTGACACACAAATACATTATTACACTCATTTTCACACACAAACACACGCTCTCTCTCTTTTGGAAGAGCTACAATGGATCCCTCCCTGGTTACCAGTGGGGCGCTGTTCTGATCTTCATGCTCTTACTGCACAGCTACCCAGTCTGCCCTGTAGTGATGCTAGTGCTGGAGTGACATTACATACTGGCTCTTGGCATATCTACAGCAGTTTTTCTCAACCTTTTATTGAGAAGTACTCCTGGAGGTCTAAAAAAAAAAATCCCAAGTAACCCTGCCTTGAGAAAGTAATTTCTACTGATTTAAATTCCAAATGAAATGTGTAGAGACTGATTTTTAAGTTAAAGGAACACTATAGGGTCAGGAACACAAACATGTATTCCTGACGCTATAGTGTTTAACCCACCATTTAGGTGTTTAACCCACCATTTAGCTCCCCTATAAAAGTTTAACTCACCTTATTTCCAGCTCTGCGCGGGCCTGCCGATTTTTAGCCAATCTATGGGAAAGCATTGGATTGGCAAAAATTGGCACGGGGGTGGCCAAATGCCATTTTTGGCCAATTAGGACCTCCTTATAGGACAGAACTGACCCAGGAAGCACCTCCAGTGGCCATCTAAGGAGTGGCCACCACGCTCACTTTATAGTCTGGTATTTCACCTAGAACTAGTGAGGAGCCTATCCATCTCTAATTTCGCTACATTCAATAAGCAAAATAAAATGTAATTTAAATGTACATGATATCACTGGAAAGTTATGTATCACTGCTCTGAAAACTGTAAAAGCTTGTTTTACAATCTTACAAACGTGTACACCCCCTTCCCATTATTTCTTGTCTGTATCACAAAGTACGTTGCTATGTAAAAAAACTAAATTCTCTCAATAAACAAAGATTGTCAAAAAAAAAAAAAAAAGGAGTGGCCACTTGGAGGTGTCCCTAGAGGCAATGTAAATATTGTCTTTTCTCTGAAAAGACAGTGTTTACATGAAAAAAGCCTGAAAGGAACTATTATACTCATCAGAACAACTAGTTGTTCTGGAGACTATAGTGTCCCTTTAAACCCATATAGGGACATATAGTGTGCCTTTAAACAAGCCTAATTAAAGTTAGTAAAGAATGTTTTTCAATTAACTATGATATAGTGTGAATATTGTGTATGTAAGGAAGAGTGTATGAACAATCTGAAGTATAAAAGTCACAAAATGAAAATATATTACACACATACTGTAAGGATCGAGACAGGGATTCAACACGCAGAGTACTAACAAATATAAAGACGTATACCAGACCTTAGAGTGGCCGGACTAACGTCACACAAACAAAGAATGGTCAGGAACAAGCAGCGGTCGAGTGAACGAGAAGACAGGAAAGCGAAAGCCAAGCCGAGTACAAGGGTAGGAGAAAGTAGCAAAGTCAGAATACAAAGCCAAGTCAATAACCAAAATCAATCACAGAAATAGCACTGAGGGAACAGACAAGCTAGAACCACGACAGGGCAATGACACACTGTAAGTGAGTACCTTTTATACCTTAGGTATATGCAAACTAACAGGGCGCCACAATCACTAAATCGGTGTATGCAAAGGGAAGAACCAAATACTTAAATATATCTGATATCTGGATAAAAATAATAATTTATTAATACAGAATAAATAAAATAACATAGAGGAGGAAATCCACTCAGTGGAATCTGAGATTAATATGGCTTTTGATGAAGAAACAATAAAAGAAAATAGTAAGTTATTGAATAAGAATGTAGAAAAATTAGAAGAAATTTTTTTAAACATTAAGGAAAATAAATTGAGTAGAGATAAAGATGATTATAGAAAAGCCATACAAAGAGAATGGAGAAAAAAGAGACCTAGGGGCTCTCAAAATAATAGAAATAATCGTAATAATAGACCTTATTAATATAATGAAGATTTTAGAGGAAGGCATGACAGAAACAATATCCCTAGAGACTCTAGAACCCATAAGAAGAATAGAGATGATTATGGAGAATCATCTGTTAAGAAAACCAGGAACTATGAGGAACAAAATAGGGTGGTGAGACGAAAAGATAACCAAAGTAATGTGATGAATAGCAGAATAAAAGACAGATCCTCTAACCAGAGTAATGGGGTAAAAGATAGACCCTCTACCCAGAGTAATGTGGCAAATGGTAGAACAAGAGATAGACATGACCAATCCGAGATTTTTTTAGAGAATCGACCCAAACAAGGACAAAATGTCTGGGCCCACAGAAAAAGGTTCTCCCCTCTACAAACTTTCCAAACACTCTCCAAGAAAAGGAGACTTTTAGGGGCAACAGGAGGACTAGGGGAAATAGAGGAAGGGGAAATGTCGGATTAAATGATAAAAAGAGCATTGAAGGCATTTTTAATTTATCAAAAGAGATTTTTATTAAGGAACAATTAGAGGTTTTTAATAAAGGATTAAAATTTGCTCCACAAACAGATCCCAATATGTTTGAACCTTTTATAGATACACAGAAATTTTTAAGAAAATTGACTATTAAGAGATTTTTTGAAAAGAAAAATGATGGAGTTATTGCTTTTAGAGACTCACAGAGTGATCAAATGATGGATGTGATCCCAATTGAATCTATGGCACCCGAAATTGTACATTCTGGTTTAAAGAATAAATCAAAAATTTTCCCTACTTGGGAAAAGGGAGACCATATACCAGTGTTTTGTGAAATGGTGATGAGTGAATTTGAGAAACTCTCTAAAAGTAGAGGTAAAGATAATTTAACTAGGAAAGAAAAACAAGCCTTAAAAGAATTAAAAGAAAATAAAGACATAGTAATTAGGCAGGTTGATAAAGGCGGAGGTATTGTTATCCTTAATAGAGTTGACTATATGAAAGAGTCACTGAGGATACTAAGTGACTCGGATACCTATAAAATTCTAAAGAGTAATCCTACAGGCAAATTCAAAGAGGAATTACATGGTATTTTATCAACAGGTTTGAAGAATGAGATTATAAACAGGGATGAGTTTAATTACTTATTTATTAACTCACCTAAAACAGTTGTCTTTTATTACTTACCTAAAGTACATAAATGCTTGGAATCCCCACCAGGAAGACCTATTATCTCTAACAAGTAATATCTCACAGTATATTGATTTCTTTTTGCAGAAATATGTGGTTTTAGCTCAATCATATACCAAAGATTCCGTCCAGATCATCAAGGAATTGGAAGGTCTTGAATGGAAAGATGAATACCTTTGGGTAACAGTCGATGTCACCTCTTTATACACCGTGATTGATCATGAGAAGGGTATTGAAGCGGTACAAAATGTCCTGAGGTGTGATACAGATATGAATCAGGGATAGGCTACCTTTGTTTTAGATCTCATCCGATTCATCCTATTCCACAACTATTTTTGGTTTGAAGGGTTATATTACCTTCAAACATGTGGAACAGCGATGGGCACCAGGTTCGCACCAAGTTATGTCAATATTTTTGTGACTGATTGGGAGTTGAACCATATTTGGCGAAACAACCCATTTGGTGCGAACCTGGTGCAATGGAGAAGATATCCGTGACGTTTTAATTATCTGGAAAGGAGGTAGAAGTCTTTTAGCTGAATTTTTAACTTATATCAATTCTAAAACATATGGACTGAGGTTTACTGAAGAAATTCATGATACGTGTATTAACTATGTAGATCTTACTCTTTTTATAAAAGATAAAAAAAATTTTAGTAAAACATTTTTTAAACCGACAGACGGAAATGGTTTTATTGAGTTTTCTAGTTGCCACCATTGAAAATGGCTGACAAATATTCCCAAAGGACAGCACCTGAGATTATATAGGAATTGTACTGAGAAAGAGGATTTTGAAAAACAAGTCCAAGTTCTGAATAAGAAATTTTTAGATAGGAATTATCCAGAACAACTTCTATCTAATACACAAAAACAGGTAGAAGGTTACCAGAGGAAAGATATTTTAATGAATAATAAAGAGGCTAAGAAGGGTGCTGGGAAACAGTCTGAATTTGCTTTTTTGACAAAATTTAGTAATAAAGCCAACCTAATAGAGAAGTCTATCAAGAAGAATTGGCCTATTTTACTACAAGATAAGTTTTAAAAAAAGATCCTATCTCAGAACCCTAGAGTAATCTATAAAAGACCTAATAATTTGAGGACCATTTTAGCTCCTAGCATTTTGCCTAAAAAAACAGTTGAGAGTGAAAAGACAATTTTTTTAATAGAAAGGCCTAATGGTTTCTTTCAAATGTGGTAGGTGTAGCACATGCAAATTTCAGAAGAATAAGATCACAGAATTTTCTAGTATGGTGACTAAAGAAACTTTTAAAATAAAACATTTTATCAACTGTCATAGTAAATTTGTGGTATACCTGTTACAATGTAAATGTGGGGTCCAATATATTGGACGGACTATTAGAAAATTACACATTAGATTGCTTGAACATTTTAATGGGATCAAGAACAAAAATGAGAAACATAGTGTACCTAGACATTGTAATACATGTAAAGATTTTGATTTTAAGGATTTTATTTGTATTGGGATCGATATGGTTTTACCTCACTGGAGAGGTGGGGATACGGAAAAGAGGTTAGCCATGAGAGAAACAGAGTGGGTATATAAAATGAAATCCTCTGTTCCCTCAGGAATGAATACTGATCTGGATATAATAGCTTTTATAGACTGATTGAATGACGATTTATCTTTGACCTCTTTTTATGTCTTTTATTTATTTGTTTTTTATACATACTTATTTTTATATATATATTTTGTATATATATATTTTTTATATACATTTTCTATATACATTTTTTATATTGATTTTTATATTGATCAATTTAATGTTATTATATGTTGCATTTTATTTGCATGCATATATATGCCCTCATCTTTTATCACATGTTGAAATAAGTCATGTATATGTGAATATTGCACTTTATTTGAATTTATATGCCTTCATCTTTCATCATTAGTATTATCATCCTTATGTATATGTATTTTTTACATCTACAGTTTTAAATTTACCCCTACTCATGTGTATTTAAAAAAATAAATAAATAAAAAAATTTGGGGAAAAAATTTTGGATGACGCTGTCCACACCCTGATATGTTTTTTCATTTATGTACATCTATATTGATATTATCATATAGATGATCTATTATTGTAAGGTCTATGTATATTATATTATTTTATTATGATGGATATTGTGGAAATATAAATGGACTCATTTTTTATCACTTTTTTCCTTAATGTATATTTTTTATATTTTATATTTTTTATATTCTATATATTTTTTAATTTTTGCCTTGTATTATACATTTTTTCCATATTTTTCTTCCTTTTGTGTACCTGTCTTATTTATATTTCCCCCTCTGTATATTTAGTATTCCTCTGTTTAGGGGTTAGCAGGGGGGTAGGCAGGTTCTGTAAATCCGGTCTGCATTTCTATAGAGCGTTCTTTTTATAGATCGCTCTTAATGCGATTGTGTATATGAACAATAAAGTTTATCTGCGTTCCGGCGTGGTTGCGCATGCGCATACCGGCCATGTATGCGTCATGACGTATGACGTTATGCGTGGTGACGCATGAACGCATGCGCAATCACGGAAGCCGGCAGACGGACCGGCAGATTTAAAAGGAAGAAGGTGGAGGAAGATGGAAGAAGCTCCTGAGGAAGTCTGACGACGAAACGCGTTGAGCATTGACTATCATTTGGGACCCTGCATTGTGGTATCAGCGGCTTTATTGTTTATGTGTGCTGACTGTGCTGACTGTCTACTTTTTTATCTTTGGGCTATTTGTATGCTAATGTGTTATTGATTTGGTGCACTTTCGGTACTAGTTCTTTGTATTCGAGCATTTGCACTTTCATACTATACTTTGCACTTTAGCATTTGCACTTTATTGCCCAGTTCAGCATTATGTATTAGTGAGCTGCTATACCTATGGGTTCCTGTTCATTATATGTTTGAGCACTTATTATTGTGCTGTTATTTTATTTATTCTGTATTAATAAATTATTATTTTTATCCAGATATCAGATATATTTAAGTATTTGGTTCTCCCCTTTGCATACACCGATTTAGTGATTGTGGCACCCTGTTAGTTTGCATATACCTGTTGTTTATTATTGGATTTGGAGTGTCCAATTTACAGAGGCTAGCCTGCACTTGGTTTACATTCAGTTTCCATTGCCCATTCACCCATCTTTCTATCTTTTTGTTTGTGCCTTTTATACCTTGGCTCTTTAATTGATGTCCATGCCCCCAAAACATCCTGGTTTGAACTTTTCGGCGGGCTGTGACATCATGACGTCGGTGAAGTTGCGCCGCGTCATAAAAGGGGGCGGGGCTATCGCAGCTGGCGTCTAAACGGCCGAAATGGCTGAAGAAGATGGGTGACAAACTCATTGACAGACACACTCACTGATTTGGCACACACTGACAGACACACTTATTGACACAAACACATTCACTATCAGTCACACACAATGACAAACACATATTTACACACAAGGGACATTGATACACACACTTAGGACTGATACACACACTTATACACAGAAGAAACACACACTGACAGACATACACACACATTTACTGACAGACACAAACTCACTGAAAGGCACATACACATTCTATCACACAAATGCACAAATAATTATTTGTTTTATTATTTTTCATTGTATTGTGAAGGTCCCCCACAAGACTATGTACCCTGGTGCAATTCCACCCCTGGTTGTACCACCTATTCTACTGAACTGAATAAGGCTATGCTCAGACAACATATTAGATATAATAATATATATGTATAATCGAAGAATCAGTTTTCTTTTGTCTGATATACTCTATAATGAATAATGCTTATATATCTGCTTATATTTTGGACAATTAATGCAACATTTCTCCATTTATAGTCTCATAATCTTTATGCAATATGATTTAATCTTGCTGTTTAGTGACTCCCTTTAACTATATTTTAGTTGCAGTAACAAAATACATATTTGAATGATTACTCATAGTTTGTAACATCCATACCATCTACTCCAATGTAAAATATTCAGAGTTTACTAAATCCTTTTATTATAACAGGTCTTTGTCAATTTGAAAATAGTTTGTTCAAAGAAACACTGCATTCCTTTCACATTTACCCTGGGGACATTTCTTTATAACACCAAAACTAGATTTACAGGCGCAAAAGTATAATCTTACTCTGTTCCTAAGTAACACACCCAGGTCTTTCCAACAGGTCTGTCAATCCTCACTATCTGCAATATCATCTTTACCTTTAGCAAAGCTCCAATTAGAGATACAACCCTACCACAAGCCTCTGGCAACATTTGGCTATCTTTCACATTTACTATCTCAAACTATGGGGTCCAGTTTTACCTAAAACCCCTTTTAGCAAAACCTTCCTTAGTTTTCAAAAAAAACAAAAAACTAAACTATACAAGTTGTTGGCCAACAAGACTTTCCCCTGGCTGCTCCATACTCCACTTTGAGCTGACTAAGATCCAAACATACTTTTATGGGTTCCTAATGATGGCAAATATTAAAGTTTTAAAGCGGCAAAGAACAATGGCACATAGATGATATACATTGCAAAACAGATATCACAATCAAGTACATTATGTAAGATTTGATACGAAAATGCGCCAGGTAAAGGAGGAAAAGGAAAATACAATCAGCATTTAAATAAAAACAAACAAACAAAAACAAAAGAGTGCAAGGTAATTCACACAAGAATACTATCTTAACCCCTTAAGGACCGGCCTGTTTTGGCCATGTTGTATATTAAGAACCAGGGCTGTTTTAACACTTTTGTGATGTTTGTGTTTAGCTGTAATTTTGCGCTCTCTCATTTATTGTTCACATACAAATTATATTTATTTTTTTTTCAGGACAAGAAGGGCTTTCTTTACATACCATTATTTGTATCATGTCATGTAATTTACTTTGAAAAAGTGAAAAAAAATTGACCCTTATATTTGACCCTGTAACTTTCAAAAACACTATACAACCTGTACATAAGGGGTACTGTTATACTCAGGAGACTTTGCTGAACACAAATATTAGTGTTTCAAAACAGTAAAATGTATCACAACAATTATATCATCAGTGAAAGTGCTGTTTGTGTGTGAAAAATGCAAAAAACTTCACTTTCACTGACAATATCATTAAATTCTCTGGACTTTCGGCCTGGGTTGTCAGGCAGGTGCCTCAAATTGCAATCAATAACATTACTTAATTATGTAAAAATATTACATAAATATGCATGTAGAATTTAAATATATACATATTTATATATTTGAAGTCTACGTGTATATTTATGAAATTATTTATGTAATTTTGTATATGGATATATATATATATTTTGTATTATTTTAAATTATTTAAATTATTTATATATACATAGATGTATATATAAAATCATTCTAAGTGTATTTTGATATATATATATATATATGTATATATATATATATTAAAATCAAAATAAAGTTAGAATAAAATGTCATATTATATATTTATAATTTTTTTACATCTGTCCTTAAGGGGTTAAAGAAACACTCCAAGCATGCTATAGTACTTACGGTGCCAATAATGACCCCTCCCCCATTATAAATAGTCTGCCATTTAACCTGTTACCTGGGGTCCACTACATCTATTGCTGAATTTTCTAGACTGTTTTCAGATAAACTATTTTATTCTAAATGTAGCCATCTGGATTAGGAGTTTAGCAAATAAACCCCCAGAATGAACAGAATACAAGTATTGTATCATTAATGACCCTTTAAAACTAACCCCCAATCCTGTAGCCAATCTAGTAGGAAATACATTGGGTATATATTGATTTCACAGGCAGCAAGTGCACATATAATTAGTGAGTCATGCAAAAGCATAAAAGCAGGTTTAACAGGATATGGTATCAACTTCAACACCTGCTTGTCAAATAAGAGGTGACATGCTATATCAGCAGGCACCAGTTACAGAAATTCTAACAATTACACTGCATCATATTTAGCATTTTTATTATTTAAGTTTCTCTAAGCAATTCACATGTAAAAAGTATAAATCAAATGTGGGAGCATTACACAGGTAGTAAACAGGAAATAACTGCATATTCGTCCTAATTCCGTAACTCTGAAGCGCCATATGGACATAACCAAAGAAACGACTTGTGCAATGGACAAGTATTTTTGTTTGATTTAGAGTTACATTTTTGGTGACAAAAATATACATTTTTCAGATGAGCCATGCCAACACATGGGCGACTATTGGATTACTGGAACTATTTTTTCCAGATGAAGTGATTCGTCTGAATAAAAATTTTCAGATGTGCACAAGTGTAATTTATACAGTGTCTGCCCCATTGTAGGTCCAGACTCCTTTTCATTTCCTACAGGAATGTCTATATGCTGGCTGGAGTGTTGAAGGTGTGCTTTGGAGGATACCAACTCATAATTTTCCCTATTTGTACTATGGTCCCTATTTGTACTAAGTTATCCTTTATCTCTCCATGGAAGTAAAACATGGCCTAGTGTCTTTTCTGTGTGTGCTCCACTTCATTAGGTTACATACACTGAATTTGATGCGGCATGCCATTGTCATAGCTATGAGCCTTAGCCACAAAGGGAAAAGGCTCTGAAGATCTCTGCTGTTGTCAATGAGATCAAAGGTTGCTTTCCGGCTGCTCATGCAATTTGAGAGTAAAGAGCTCCTGGGTCTGGCTGGAACTGTACCCCTTGCAACTCCAGTTGTTATGCAAGTATCTACTGAAACCTCTATATATTGTAACCTGCATTCCCCCTAAACCCTAAATCATCTCAGTCAGTGGTTTCCTTATTAAAACATACAACACAATACATTACAAAAGGCAAATATATGCAAATATTTGCAACCAACATCGTTTAGGACATTTTGTCCACCTTCAGTAGAACCAAATTAGTTTGCATTAAAATTATTAGGTATTCTTTGCTGCATTGCAATTGTCTAGATTTCGTTTAGACATTTAAATGCTAGTTTGGTTCACTCTTTTGCATACATAAAGGTTTCCAAACATGTTTTTATTTTTTTGTTTTATTAGTCAATTTCTATAGATGAGTGATTGAGGTCATTGCTTTGCCCTGCTAACGTACCTGTAAATATTACTACATTTAATTTTGCAGTAAGTGTTCTTCAAGTGTAACACTTTGAGAAACACCCCACCTTCTCCCTGTTCTTAATGCTGCTTAGGCTCAAGTTCGGTTTAGATAATTACTAACAATAATTATCAAAGATTTTTATAGTGGAAAAATTATAATAGAAAGAGTAGGAAAGAAACTGTTTTGAAGCTAATTAATCATGATTGAGATCACCAGATCTTTAGACATCCATTTGTTCTATTCTGTATTAATGACAGTAGGACCAATGTGATGGGTCTCAATGGCCTTATATATCATTATGATAAACACCATACCAGGAAGATGGAGACACATTGATCTTTTAGGGAACAAGAAGAATTGCCAGAATGCATTCAATGATTTACACATAGTTTCAATTAACATCTCAAGCACAAGATCAGCACAAAATATATCCCTTGGTCACTCATTAAAGCTCAGAGCCTCTCACCATTGCCAGGCCCCATTACATGCATAGGCTGCAACTGCAGCAGATCCCTGCAGCAACCTCGAGTTCTTGGATGGTTTAGGTAGAGTTTACCATATCTACTGAATTACAGAGGGATTCAAATTAGAAAGAATTTTGCCTTTCCAAAAAATGCATGGTATGCTAGTAAAATGTAAGATATAGACAATAAAAGGTTATATTCTCCATATTTTATTTTCTTGTGTTTGCCTAATACATATAGTTAAGTAGTACTTTGATTTGTGAAAAACATTTATGATTAAAAAACAAAATTCTAATAAATATGCTTTAATTTTAATAGCCAAGGCCAGTGGAGGCTGGTCAATAGGAGCACTTGGGGCAGCGCCCACCAGATTTTATGTGGCAAAATATTATTTGCAATGGTTTAGAAATACTAATATTCTAGTTCTGGAGAATGGGTAATATAGAAAATGGGAGGGGGGGAGGGATTAGCCACTCTGTAGCTGAGATCTGAGACACATGCTGTGTCAAATATTAGAACTACCAGGGTCCCAAAACCCGCAACTGCAACCAGGCCCTGGAGTTCCACCTGTCAATGGGATGGAAAGTGCAAGCAGGGCAGCAGCAGGCAGCTTACTCTACTTAGTTTGCTTGTGTGTTGCTGCCCTGCAAGGAGTTCAGTGCCGGCTGCACTCCTCAGGCAGGTCTCTGGTGGTCCGGTGGTTATATGTGATGCTCTGCACCCCATCTGGAAACCCTCCATAATATCCTCCCCTTGGCTGTTCCGGTGCTCAGTTAGTGAGTCAGAGCGTGGCTAAGAGGATTTTCAGCCTGCCTTCTGCCTCAATTGTGAGTGTCAGAACTGCAAATAAGAGAATATCATACAGAATTACCGGAAGGGAGGCACATATCACCACCGCACCACCAGGGAAACAAAAACAGTAACTGCAGAACTGGACCACCAGGGCCAGCGGTGCTGAGAGGTCTCGCCACGCAAGAGATGGAGGCAGGGCATAAGCAGGCTCATTTGGACTGATAGAGAGGGTAAGTGTTTCTATGTGTTTCATTGTATGCATGTGTGTAAGTGTTTGTGTGTCAGTGTATGCATCTGTGCAGGTCTGTAAGTATTTCTATTTGTCAGTGTATGTATCTGTGCATGTGTGCTAGTGTATGTATCTATGCATATGTGTGGGTGTTTGAGTGCGTCAGTGTATGAAGCTGTGTATGTGTGTCAGTCTGATGTGTCAGTGTTACTGTGCATGTGTGTCAATCTGTGTGTGTGTTCTGTCTGTTGCATCTGTGTGGCGTTTCTGTGTATGGCAATATGCCCTTGTGTGTGTATGTGGCCGTGGATATGTACGTGGGAATACACCATATTGGTGTATGCAATCACACAAAGACAACCCTGCATTCAAACTCCAACTCTGTACACAAAAACAGTCCTGCATTTAAACGCCAACAACAGACAAACACAATGCTGCAGGACTGGGGTTGTTACTCAGAATCTGATTTCAATTTGTAATGATTGTTGCTTCTGTTAACTTTGTTAGCTACTTCTTGGCCCCGTATTAACACTTTAGATTGCTTATATTGCTATCTTCAAAGGTAATAAAGAACCTTTTTTTATTAGTTTGGGTGGGGAGGGATTGGTGGAGCACTAGGGAATTTTGTGCCTACAGGAGCTTGTGATGTAAATTTGACCTTGATGTCAATTTAAGTGTCTTTGCAAAAAAACTGTAATAACTTCACGATTAGCAGTGCAACCTTAAATGCCTCACATAATACAAGACAGCCCATAAAACTCCACATGATAGTCAAACAAAGCTCATTTCTTTAACCTAAGTGTAGGTCTGTATCCACAATATGTCAGTGTGTACAGCACGTAATAAAATATTGCTAAGGTTCCCATATTTACAGTTACCATTTTCACACAGACCAATGAGCCAAGATTCGAACAAGGTTAATTACGCTTAGCCCAGTTCAGTGCTTGGTCTAGAACTTTCTCAAGCTACACTATTAACATGCTAACAGCTATCTGTAATGAACCACACCTAGATATAAAATGCTTTACTGTGTATTCAAATTTTAGTCACCAGTACAATGCTGTAAGACTTGGGCAGACTTTGAGATAACTCCAAGACACACCACCTCAATATACAATTAAATATTTGCAGATCATTTCTTTACAAGTCAGACTATGCTATAATATCTTAAGCTTTTCCTCTAATCTAAACATAAGTATCACAGCCGCCACCAGTGTAATGATGCATTGTTTAACAATAGCTATGGCTAACCTTGTCATCCAAGGGGTAGGCACTCCTTATATTGTGGAATACATCTCCCATAATGCTATAACAGCCATAATGCTGGCACCCCTGCCCTAGATATTTGAGAACCACATTTTCCATGATGCTCAATCAACCTTATGAGGGGCTGCCACAATGTTAGCAGAGGTTGCAGTTTAATAGTATCACAGTAAAGCATTTTTCACCTTAGGGAAGACCAGCTACACACACCCTCCACCTTCCCCTGAAATAAATATATATATATATATATATATTGAAAAAAATAGCTATATAGAAAAAAGTTAAAGCATAAAACATGAAACTACAAAATTCATTTAAATTGCAAGAATAAGTACAATAAGATGCCAACAGCACCAATATTAAAGGCAAAATATCCATTAACCAATCCTTTATATGACTACAATATTTTGCTTACAGTCAGACAGAGAAACAAACAAAAAGAGACAAACCGAGTTCAGGATTTTATGTCCATTACCCCCCTTTGTATTTTCCCCCTTTTTATGTCTGATGAAGAACCTAGATTCCATTTCCCCTTATCAATGTAAATTCTCTCCATTTCCATTTTCATTCCCTATTTCCTTGTCCTCTTTTCATGTCTATCAGGCCCGCTTTCCATGTCCATCATCCCTGCCTTTTCATGTCCATTCTCCCCTCTGAAACCTTGCTTCATCTCCATACCTGGGGTCCAGTGGTTCTCATTTTCCTTCTGTGCAGCAGCCACTGGAGGAAATGATATAGGATTTGGAAGGCTGTTGAGTAGCGAGTTGCAATAGCCGTATAGTTGAAATTATCAGTTCATGGATAAGTGCCTTAATTGTATCTTGAGTTAGAAAAGGGCAAATGCAGGCACTGGCATATATATCGGGGTCCCGGACGCCCTGCGACCCAGTATGTACACCAGTGTGGCCAGCCTCTTCTCCTGGGGGGCCCAGGAGCTGGCCACCGCAGGGCCCCCTGAGGCTGGCCCTGCTTTCACCGGCCGGTCCTGCGGGCGTGCAAGGGAGCACTCTCCCCTGAGCGCTCTCTGCCCAGCTCCCTCGCGTGCACCGCACTGATGCCAGAGCCGGAATATGATGTCATTCCAGCTCCGGCATCAGTACGCGGCGCGCGAGGGAACTAAACAGGAGGATGAGTGCTCCCTCACCGCCTGCAGGACCGGTCGCCGGGCAGCCCCACTAGACCCCAGGGAATCCCCTCAGCACTCCCAAAGGTAGGGAGGCTGGGGGATCACATTTTTTAAAAACATGTGTTTGTGTGTTAGTGTTAGATTTTGTGTCAGTGTGTGTGTTACTGTGTGTGTGTCTGGTAGTGAGTGTCAGTGAGTGTGTTAGTTTTTTGTGTGTGTGTGTTAGTTTGTGTGTGTCTGTTATTGAGTGTGTGTCTGCTAGTGAGTGTCGGTGTGTGTGTTAATTTTTCTGTGTGTGTGTGTTAATTTTTTGTGTGTGCGTGTTATTGGATGTGTGTCTGCTAGTGAGTGTCAGTGTGTGTGTTCGTTTGTGTGTCAGTGAGTGTGTTACTGTGTGTGTGTCTACTAGGGAGTGTCAGTGAGTGTGTTAGTTTTTGTGTGTGTGTGTGTTAGTTTGTGTGTGTCTGCTAGTGAGTGTCAGTGTGTGTGTTAGTTTGTGTATCAGTGAGTGTGTGTGTCAGTGAGTGTAACTGTGTGTGTCTGATGTCTGTTAGTGAGTGTGTTGGTCAGTGAGAGTGTATGTTTTGTAAGTGAGTGTGTATGTGTGTCTGTCTGTCAGTGAGTGTTTATGTATGTCTGTCACTGAGTGTGTCTCTGTCAGTAAATGTGTGTGTCTGTTAGCTAGTGTGTATGCGTCTGTTCATGAGAGTGTGTGTGTGTGTGTTTAAAACCCCTTTAGCACTTACCTTTCTCCAGCGCCGGACTCCCTTGGCACTGGGGATCCCTCCGCCCTGATCCCCCTTTCAGCTCCAAATGCGCATGCGCGGCAAAAGCCGCATGCGCATTCAAACCGCCCATATATGTTTTAGACTTGTGCACAGAGAAATTTCGGCCATGCATTTGTTTCGGGAAAGTGATTCAGACAAACCAAATGGTGCGATCCATTTGGTTCTCAGATAAATTGAGCTTGCAATCTATCATGATTTGAGGTAGGTGGATATATATCACTAGTCTGTAAAATGATGTAAGTGGGGACCTACACCTTTAAGTGAAGTGCTAGAAAATAAAGAAAATGCATAAGTGAGGTAAACTTAACCCGCGTAACTAGATTAAAAGATAAACTTGATTAAAAGATAAAAGACAAAAAAATACAGTATAGTGCAGATGGTACGTGACGTGGAACACAGTTAAGGACTCTCACATTTAAAGGAGCCTGTGTATGAATACTGGCTCCTTAATCAAGCTGGTATGCTTTTATGGCAGTATCACACCTCCAATGCGTTGTTGGATAAATCTCAAAAAGAAAGCCTAAAAGAGACAAACCAATATGTAGTCTGTTGAAACCAGATGGAAAGGTGGAAATAAAATGAGGTGCTCACCTTATTCAGAGCCTAGCAATCCCGGCTCTGAGGTGTGAAGGTATTGTGCCAATTTTGTGGGGATGGCACTACCCCTATGAAGATTCCTGGAGGCTCCAAAGGACTTATGTAAAATAATGACATTTATTATAATATAAACATATAATATAAAATAATGATAATTACAAGAATAAATGTTCTAAAAGGTAGCCAAAATACGTTTCACTCTTGAAGAGCTTCTTCAGTCAACTGTAGGTATGGTTCTAAGAATCTTCCATTTTTAAATCCCTTATGGTCCTTCCCTTAGGTCACATGGATCGGTGATTATCCAATGTTGAAGCTTGAGGGTCTCTTTAATTGTCCTTATTAGCATTCATGTGATGGTATAATGTGTAATTCGCCAAATTCTGGCACTCTTTTTACCTATCAAATGTGATTGGTGGGCAGTTTTTACACTGGTATAGTTTTTAACATGCTCTATTAACACCAATGCTGTATGTCAATTCCAATTTGCTAATATTATGTCTTAAAAACAAGATTTCCCTCAATACCCTATTTTTCTTCAAAACAGATGGATCAAATACAGTGCACATCTTCATAGGCCCTTTTTTCTCTTCCTATTTTTCCCCCCTCTAAAGTCCACCTGCCAAAGAGCAATCAACTTGCCAGATGATTGATTTGGTAGTAACCAACATACCTTGTATCAAACTGCACGCTCATATGTACCCACACGCTAACTCGTTACATACTATGTGACATATGTTTTAATTAATGTCTCAATACTCTTCTATGTATTCTGTGACAATTTCACAATGACTTGTATCTCTATTGCTTATGAGTTTGTACCAATAAACATCTTCATTCAATAAGAAAATAAAAACAACAAAAAACAAGATTTCAGACATGACCTATTGGTTTTTGCCTTAGGCTGTCAGATAATAGATACCTTCAAAAACAGGTTTGCATATTGTCCTGTCTCATGGAAATGTCATTGATTAATAGCATCAGGGAGTGGAGGTGGACCTCTTAAAAATGTTGTTGTTTGCTAAATACATGTTATCAGATCAGAAATATCAGGCGTCAGAGACACATTTTGGGGGTAGTGTTTAGTGCTTACCATTTTTAAACTTCACCAACCAGCCCACAGTCCACAGTTGCTATTGAAACAGCCCACCACCTACTCCTTATTATGCTTTATTTTATATTAGGATTGGGTATTCATGTTACATGTTTTGCTTGGATCACCTTATACTTATATTATCCTTCCTTCTCTTTTTCTGGTAATTCATCATTATCCCTCCTGCACAACCCACGTCGTTATTTTTTTTACAATTATTCTTCTCGTCCTATTTCCTCTTCAGGCAATCTAATTAACTCAAAACACCATGCTGCATAATATGTTATAGCATTATGACTACATTTGTAATAATAATAACAACGTAGTTTCAGTAATACCTAAATGCAGTCAGGGAGTTACCTTTAGTCTATGGATCTCCCTAAATGAGAAATAATCACATTCCTCCAAGACATTTATGTGTTAATAACCTCACTCATTTTACCAAATAACCTTGCATGATGCCATTATTTAACCATCGTACCTCCTCTTATTCAATGCTTAAATCCGGCATGCCTCTTGTTCCTTAAATCAATCAAATATATACATTTTGCATTCAGACAGAAAAGGGAACTAATTCCATTTACTATGACATTCTTCTTAACTGATTTACATAAAGTGGCACTGCCACATTTGAGTTCTTTTTGTAAAGATAGAATCTTTATGAAAACCAATAAAGACTACGGGGAATTTCAACTGAAATTCAAATGCTATCAAAGGATATCCTAAGACAGGATGAAGACTTATTTGGACAATGTTTGGGGGGACAATTTTAGGTGAATTGTTACAAAAAATTAAGTTAGAAATAGATTTGGCAACCACAATTAGCCTATGTTGCACATGCTCAAAATCTTATAGAATCTTCCATAGATCCGCCATTTTTTACTTTTGTGCTATAGCATGCCAATGACACAGTTCCTGTCAGAAGGAACAATCAAGAGCTAAAGAAGAAAATTTTGTATCACATATAGAAAATTAGGTAAGTATATATACGTTTCCCCTCTTCCCCCAGACATCACTATGAATACGAACATGCCATCTTGAGTGATGTTTGCAAAAAAGTTTAACACCACATGTAACAGTTTTGCTTTAACTCAAATTTAACTATGGGAACTATCCACTAAAGTGTGAGTTGTGGTGAGTTGACAGACATTTTGGAGATTTTAAGCCACATTGAATGTACATACACCTAATTTTTCAAATCTCAATAGTTAAAAACTGATTTGCAGAGCCCAAGCCCATGCCGAGTTATTTAATTGTTGTTCATATACAGTTAATTCACAACTCTAAGAGAAAAATACATATTGACAGTTCTCTGTAGGTCGCACAGCCCATATTGGCACAAGTCCTAGGCACCACGTAAATTGTCCTGGAGTTACCCTGCCTCTTTCTAAGATTCCTGCACTGTTTAGAACAGTGATGCCCAAAAGGTAGATCCACAGATGTTGTAGAACTACATCTCCCATGATGTTTTGCATGTCTTTAGAATGATAAAGCATCATTGAAGCTGTAATTCTAAAACATATGGGGATCTACCTTTTGGGCACCCCTGGTTTCGACCATTGATAAATAATTTTTAAATAGAGTAATAGCAAACTGATGCAGAATGCACTGATGGTTTTTCTTACCTTTGGTCTTTTCCATACAAATGGGATATTGGGTTTTTCACTGAAGAAAAGAGAACCATCATTAGCTGGGAAGTCAACATCTTCAAACAGAGTCCCCTTCTGTAGACACTCTTGTTTAATTTCTTGATAGCTTTTGCCAGATGAGTGAATGTTTCTAGCTGTTTCAGGAACACTTGGTTCCTTCTTATTTGGATCTTGGTAAATATAGGGCATCTTGTCCGGCTACTGGAACTTCTTATGTGACAATATGCAAGTCTTTTCCAAAACTGAGTGTGTACAATAATATAATGTGACACACGACCACACACAAGTATACCACTGCAACCTGACAGCTTGAAAGAAAGCAGAAAGTGCTTAACAACTTGAATTGTTAACTGCAGGGTGAGTAAAACAAATATTCAAGAAATGCATGTGCCCCTCCTTTTTTTCAACCTGTTACAAGCAGCAGGACCTACCACTCTCAAAGTTAAATAAAAGAAACAGGGAACGCCCGGAGAGCCAACATTAACAAGGATGAACTTTCACTGATGAACAGATATTATACAGGTGTAATAAAACAAACAATACTTTATCACTATCACCAGTGGCAGGGCTGGTACTGAATATCACAGCACACAGAATATATAGCTAAATATATTCTGTAAATACAAAAACTATCTATAAATGTAAATGTCATAATATGTTAAAACCTAATTTATATATAAATGAAATCCGTAGATTCAGCATAATATATATACACAATACAATATATATACCTATTGCTATACCTACTTGCTAGTCCTTTATTGCGTAGTATAAATAAGTACAACCAGGCTCCTTGAGCCTAATATCCCTGTGCCCCAGCCATATTTCCTCACTCACTTTACCAAACAAATATCCTCTCGTCTTGAGTTTAAGATGTTATTTGTTAGTTGACTTTTGAGTTCACAGGCTACAAAAAAGCTCTGAATGTAAACGTGATTATTGGTCTTGTTTTTTTTTTATTTTATCACCATGTATAAAGTGCCAAGAAAGGCACATTTCCATACTTGTCATTAAAAAGTAGCCATTAAACATCGTTAATATCCTACAGCTAAAACGTGTCCGCAGGTTTTCATGATCCAACTCTGTGTTTAAGGTCCACATGCTACTCTTGTGCCGCTCCACTGGTACAGTCCACTTTTAGCACTTACTAAAGTGGACAACATCAACATAAATGGCAGATTTTCCAATTAGGTGCCATAGCTACCTCAACAGAACATTATTTAATGCTCATCACATCCACATTTCACTTAGGATCAACTGAGCAGAAAATGTCACAGATATTCATAGATAATGACACACATCAAACTTTTAGATAGACTTTAGTGCTCAAAAGAAGCAAACTAACCACAATAACCCAGTAAAACAGTAAAAAGAATGCAATATATACAGTGAAAAGTGATGCGAGTGCGGTCTAAACACCTGAGTGGGGAACCCCTTATACCACTCAAAATGAAGCACAGATACAAATACATACAATAGGTGGATCGCATTCCTTAAAATCTCTAAAAGAGAATAAAAACAACACAATAGTGTAATACAGTAAACAAATGGATATCCAGGGTATAAATGTAGATGATCAGGTACTCACAAACCGAGAGCCAAACATGAACATGTGGCTCTCGAATGAGAGCTCTTTCTAAATGGTTCTTACAAGTGTCAGAATTAGTATATTCAATTTCATTTTTATTATCTATGTCTTTGATGGTGTATTCCCTATTCTCTAAATATGACATCATAAAAATTCGAGAGATGAAAATAAAATGGGAAGTAGCTACGCTCAAAAAATATGTAAATGAACAAATCACCCAGAGAGGGCTCAGGTTCGAAAAAGATCCCACTTTTGATAGGGAAGATCCCAGCTTCATGTTAGGATGGAACAAATTACTGGAAGTCGGTAACCCAGAGACTCCTTTTTGGACTCTTTTTTTACTATACTGGACTATTTTAAGTTTTATTGGAGATACTCCCCTTATTTTTGCTCCTGCCTTTATTGGGATAAATAAACACTTTACTGTTTCAAGTAAGTGTTTTCTGCTTGTTCTTTCTGGTCATTGGAAGATCCACAGAAGGAAGGGGACATCCTACAAATAGTCCCAGCGCTATTCCCATGAGAGCCACATTGGCTCTCGGTTTGTGAGTACCTGATCATCTACATTTATACCCTGGATATCCATTTGTTTACTGTATTACACTATTGTGTTGTTTTTATTCTCTTTTAGAGATTTTAAGGAGTGCGATCCACCTATTGTATGTATTTGTATCTGTGCTTCATTTTAAATGTGGTATAAGGGGTTCCCCACTCAGGTGTTTAGACCGCACTCGCATCACTTTTCACTGTATATATTGCATTCTTTTTACTGTTTTATTAATTTAATCCCCTTTTTATATACAGTGTTAATCTTTAATTTTTATGATGTCATATTTAGAGAATAGGGAATACACCATCAAAGACATAGATAATGGAACAAAATGGATAATGGAACAAATTACTGGAAGTCGGTAACCCAGAGACTCCTTTTTGGACTCTTTTTTTACTATACTGGACTATTTTAAGTTTTATTGGAGATACTCCCCTTATTTTTGCTCCTGCCTTTATTGGGATAAATAAACACTTTACTGTTCCAAGTAAATGTTTTCTGCTTGTTCTTTCTGGTCATTGGAAGATCCACAGAAGGAAGGGGACATCCTACAAATAGTCCCAGCGCTATTTCCATGAGAGCCACATGTTCTTGTTTGGCTCTCAGTTTGTGAGTACCTGATCATCTACATTTATACCCTGGATATCCATTTGTTTACTGTATTACACTATTGTGTTGTTTTTATTCTCTTTTAGAGATTTTAAGGAGTGCGATCCACATATTGTATGTATTTGTATCTGTGCTAACCACAATAACCATTGCAACCCACAGTTGTGGTTATGGTGCCAGTATGCACATGGTACCATCTACCAGTTTCGAATGAAACTTTTTGTTTGGTTTGACACAAACTGAGAACTATATTAGTGACTGTACCCAACAATAACCACCCCCCATCTCAAGCCAGCCTACCTGTTTTTAGAAGTGTTTTAAATTACTTTTATAATTATTTTGGGTGTTGAATTTCCCAAGTGTCCGATGGACACTTTATTAATATAACTCTATGTATATCTCATCTCACAACGAGAGAGCACGATAAAAAATAAATAAATAAATAAATAAAATAAAATAAGACCTACATGAGATGAGAGGGGGATTCACTGCATTCCGGTGGATCTAGGGGGCTGGCATGTTATTAATCTCTTTAGCCGCCATCTTGAATTGCGCCTGCTTCTGGAGAATGGTGCCTATGTCCCTTGATTCACGCCCTGTTCCGGATGAGGGCTTCTGATTTCTGCACCTCATATTTAGTGTAGAGGTCGTGGGTACAGGAAGGGGCTGGGTTGGAGTGGTTGTGGTACTTTTGAGTGGTGATCCGCCAAAAAGAAAGTCCCAGCCAGAAAAGGCTGATTCTTTGGAGGCCCCAGACCTGCGTTTCTATTTTGCCGCCTTTGGTGCTTGAAAGAAAGGCATGTACGGACTCTGGAGCCTTTGCTGTGTCGAAGGTAGGGTGTGTTGAATTTGGATGGCTCCGGGATCGAGCGATGTTAAACAGATTTGCCCAGGGCTATCGGTAGCTGAAAGAGATGGTGTCCAATCAGGCTCGCTGGCAAGCACCAACCCCCCAGCTTTAATTTTTTAATGTCACAAAATATATATGCTTCATCTTTAAAGAAACCACATATATTTAAAAGCAATATCAGCGCTGTTAATCACCAGGTACTAAAGTAACTATCTAGACCTTCCGTGCACAGGACATAAAACCCAGGGTTAATTGATGGATCAAACTGTTATATGTCATGCCTTAGTATTTTTTACATATTTACTGTACTACATGTTACACTATACATTTTATACATGGCAGAAAACTAATTCAAACAACTTAAAATCAGGGGTGGAAAACTAAATCTATGGCCTATGGGCCATAAATTAAAGTTGTAAGATTTAAGTAAATAACATGTAATGAAACATTTAATAGTGTTTTCATTATAAAATGTAAAGTACTTAAAATCTGGTGTGTCAGGACCACGTAGACTTCGTTTGAAACCGCTAATCAAACAAGAGATTTATTTCCTTATATCACCACTACAGGAATTCATACATGAAATTCTTTAAATCATTACTAGGTCTAAGAGTAACAATTATTTTAAATCTACAAGTGCATTTGCAGCTCTTCAATGCTGCCCTTGGGTATAAAACAAGAGAAACAGGTAAATGTACATATAAAGCTATGACCCAGCCCAGGCACAGAATTCAGGGCTTGGAATGTAAGCAAGCATGTTTGACTTTACAGTTATGGTTACCAAAATCATAGTCCACTGTCAGGTAAAATGCATGGTCTTGTAAACTATCATTTTTTATTACAAATCACTTAGTTAAAGGATCACTATAGGGTCAGGAACACAAACATGTATTACTGACCCTATAGTGTTAAACCACCATCTAGCCCCCCTGAGCCCATCATGCCTCCATAAATATAGTAAAAATCTTACTGTATTCAAGCCTGAAGCTGTAACTCTGCATGCTGTTTTCCTATGAAAAACAAGCTGTCTGCTGACATCAGCAGAAGTGGTAGCCTGATCCAATCACAATGCTTCCCCATAGGATTGGCTGAGACTGAGATCAGGGGCAGAGCCAGCATGATTCAAACACAGGCCTGGCCAATCAGCATCTCCTCATAGAGATGAATTGAATCAATGAATCTCTATGAGGAAAGTTCAGTGTCTGCATGCAGAGGGAGGAGGCACTGAATGTTTGGATGCATTTTAGGCAGCCATGGCCCAGGGAGGATCTCTAACAGCTATCTGAGGAGTGGCCAGTGAATTTATCACTAGGCTGTAATGTAAACATAGCATTTACTCCTAAAAGACAGTGTTTATAGCAAAAAGCCTGAAGGTAAAGATTCTACTCACCAGAACAAATCCAATAAGCTGTAGTTGTTCTGGTGACTATAGTGTCCCTTTAACCCCTTAAGGACACATGACATGTGTGACATGTCATGATTCTCTTTTATTCCAGAAGTTTGGTCCTTAAGGGGTTAAATACTAATGTAGTAAACCAACCATATACCCTATTTTATATATATCAGGGTCAGCCCAAATGTAATCCAGGTGGGTCTATGTACGTGTATATTTCCATATAATTGAGTGTCAGTTTGCATGTATATGAGTCTTCCTAATTAGGTGCGTTTGTGAGTAGTTAGTTATATTCGTCCTTTGATAATTATCAAGCCTCTCTAAGCTTTTGCATGTTCTCAGAGTTCTCATCCTTTCTTTATTTTTTGCTTTAATGCATTAACTTGGCTCACCCCAAGTTAAAAGGGTAGTCCAGACGTGGACCCCATGCTCACTGTGCCTAGAGAGATATCAGCTACACCCATGAGTGTCTGCAGAATTAGAACTAGTACTAATTAATTATTCTTTTAACTTCTTTATTTTTGTTATTAAAATCAAATATGATTGGAACAGAAGGTGCCGTTTTGTTTGTTTCTTTATATCTTAGAAGGTTCTTTATTTCTTTTGATTTGACTGTTTTAATAACATTATCTAGTTTTTCTTCTGAATAATGTTTTTCTAAAAATTTATTTTTTAGACTGTAGTTTGTTGTTCAAAATCCTCTGGCTTGGAGCAATTTCTTTTTAACTGTAAAAATTGACTTTTGGGAATCTTTGAGGTAGGATTGCATTGTTTTCACTGACGGTTGTAATACGATAGCTATGTATTCAGATAAATTAGATAAAAGTGAATTAATCCCTGAAACTAGAGGTCGGCCAGGAGGGCAAGTTTCATTTTTATGGATCTTAGGTAAAAAATAAATTACCGGGATTATTGGATGTGTAATATTCAAATAGCCAAATTCTCGTTTACTAAGAATATTAGAGGCTATACCTTTATCTAAGAATTATTTTAAAAAAAAATATTTGAGGGGTTGCATCATGGGTTAATTTAAAAAAAAAAAAATAGTGTCATTTAATTGTCTTGATGCTTCCTGAGTATACATATACTTTGAAAGTACAACTAAACCTCCCCCCTTGTCTGCTGGTTTTATAGCGATAGTATCATCTTCTAGGAGTTGTTTTAGGGCTAGCCTCTCTTGGTAATTAAGATTAATTATTTTTTTTTTAATGTTGTTAAGATCTTTTAAAACTAGTTTTTTCAAAGACCTTTAAATGGCCTGACTTGTAACTAGATGGGTAAAATTTGGATTGAGGTTTCAGGCGAGTGTTAAAAATAGTAGGAGTTTCCTGGGCTCCGACGGACATGGCTGCCTAACCGTACAGCTCCGCTCCACGACAGCACAATTCATAGCATACCACACTACTAAACTGCACTAATGGGACGCACTAAACTGGTTGAACCCCCACCCTTCCACAGATCTCCAGGGATACCTTAGCGGGGTTGCAGTCAGGCCCGATGGATGACTACCTCCTCAAGCCAGCATGGCCTACATATGGGTCTCCAACTTCTAAAATGGCGCCTCCTTTGCCCGCTTCCACATGCTCCAGCACTGATCACACCACATTAGCGGACATCGGAGCAGAACTCAAATGCATGGCGATGTCAATGGTCACCAAAGATGATTTTCATCTTGTTGTAAAATGTACTAGTACTAATTAATTATTCTTTTAACTTCTTTATTTTTGTTATTAAAATCAAATATGATTGGAACAGAAGGTGCAGTTTTGTTTGTTTCTTTATATCTTAGAAGGTTCTTTCTTTCTTTTGATCTGACTGTTTTAATAACATCTAGTTTTTCTTCTGAATAAGTTTTTCTAAAAATGTATTTTTTAGACTGCAGTTTGTTGTTCAAAATTCTCTGGCTTGGAGCAATTTCTTTTTAACCGTAAAAATAGACTTTTGGGAATCTTTGAGGTAGGATTGCATTTTTTCCACTGACGGTTGTAATAAGAGAGCTATGTATTCAGATAAATTAGATAAGAGTGAATTAATCCCTGAAACTATAGGTCGGCCAGGAGGGCAAGTTTCATTTTTATGGATCTTAGGTAAAAAATAAATTACCGGGATTATTGGATGTGTAATATTCAAATAGCCAAATTCTTGTTTACTAAGAATATTAGAGGCTATACCTTTATCTAAGAATTATTTTAAAAAATATATATTTTTTCGCCACGCTGCACGAAGCGATCAAAGCGGAGGTAGCAGGCCTGAAAGCGGACGTCACAGCACATGAGGTCCACATCCTCAACTTGGAACAGAGAGCGCGGACGGCTGAAGACCACGTGACAGCCACTGATACTGCCCTTAAATGCCAGGGAGCGCTTATCCTGGCAATGAGACTGCAGCTGGAAGACCAGGACAACCGTGGTCTCCGCAATAACATCAGGGTGAGAGGAGTGCCCGAATTCCCGCACGGGGAAATTGTAGAGGATATACTCACCTCCCTATTTCGCCTGATCTTGAGATAAGAAGCACCAGCCCAAATCAAATATGATAGGACACACAGGGTGCTGCGGCCTCTGCCCAAGGAGGGGGTACCCAGGGATCTGATTTGCTGCCTTCACTTCTTTCCCTTGAAGGAATTGATCATGGCAAAGGCAATACCCAGGGCTCACTGGAACTACAGTGGAGCTAAAGCATCCCTCTAGGATCATCTACTCAACACCCAGAGAAGATTGACACTGAATTCCTCAACTATTACTCAACACTGTACAACACCCACTGGCAAGGGTATAGACGCATCAAACAAAAACGCACGGAACGATTCCTACGGGAATTTCTCCATAGGACCGTGACGGCCGATGACGCAGAAATGCTCGACTTACCAATAACTGACGATGAAATATGAATGGCAATTAAAACAACAAAAACAGGCCGCACCCCAGGCCCAGATGCACTGACACTAGACAACTACAAGTGATTTGACAACATCCTGGTCCCCAGGCTTACGAAAGCATTGGACGCACTCACTGCGGGAAGCGAATTCCACGCAGAATCCCTGTCGGCCACTATTGCCGTAATACCTAAACCAGGCAAGGACCCTGAGATCTGTAGTAGCTACAGACCTATCTCTCTCCTAAACATCGACACAAAACTCTTCACCAAAATATTGGCTAACAGAATTAGTACGTTGATGCCGAAATTGGTGCTTCCGGATCAGACGCGATTCATAACTGAAAGGGAGGCCCGGGATAGCACCTTGAGGATCCTCGCCATACAGCGCCTGTC